GCCCCCGCCGGCCCCGCCGCCGCTGGAAACGCCACTGCGGGCGCCCCGTCGGTAAGTCTTCACGTCTCCAAAAGCTAGAACCCCAAAACGCCCAGCGTCCTCATTTCTGGTCAACTCAAATTTGTCTACTTTCCAATTGTGACTTTTATTTCTTAATTAGGCGAAGACATCCTAAACGAAATAGGCTCCTAAATAGGGTGCAATTAGCTTATTTTCCTTTGTGACTTTAATTTCTGAAATAGGCGTAGACATCCTAAACGAAATAGGCTCCTAAATAGGCTCCAATTTGCCTATTTTCCTTTGTGACTTTTATTTCTTAAATAGGCGTAGACATTCTAAACGAAACATACTATAAGTCCGTTTTATCATTTCTGATTGCCAGGTGTCGATTTAGCCGTGATTTCTAAAGCATGGTACACTCGTAGCCAGGGTGTATTCATGACTTGCGTCGGTTAGAATCTTTATATTACATTGTGCTTTGCTGCTATATACTTGTTAAGTCTGAGGAGAGGCTGGAGTAAAGCAAACGATCGTTGATTCGCACCGAAGTTGACGAGGTTTGGCGAGTTGACGAGGTGACATGCAGACAGGCAGTTTACGCTTCTAGTTAGTAGAGTTCTAATAAAAATTATTTAGCAACACAATTGGTTAGCACTAAAAGCAGTAAACACATGCTGGCAGAGGGCTCCGACAATGACTGTGCGCGCATGAACGCGACGAAATTGGGCGGGAGCATTGAGAACAAAATTAATTTGGGCGTTAATAGGTAAGCCAATATTAGATGAAATAACTAAGCATCTTCGTCAAAGTATTAGATTTATCAGATAGTTGCCTTTCAACAGATTTGCGTCATCATAATATAAGTAAATCACAAAATAAAATTTATTATCTATTTTGTATTTATTTTGTGTTTTATTTATATTAGTTATAGACTAATGATGACGGCAAAGCCGTCGAAAGCCGGTTATTTGAATAAGCCTAGTAAATAGACAAAGATAACTTCAGTTATTTCACCAATCAATTACGTCAACAATACCTTATTGGCATTTCCACAATGTGAATATTTGCAGAGACACAAAAATATATGAAATACATTCTTGTTTTACGTCTTTCCCCCATTTTATGGGTCTCATTTTTTGAAAATATTAGTAATTTTTGCCCAGTATTAAGTGAACAACAAATAATATTAAAAACTACAACATTTTCTCCAAAACGGCGTCAATTTTTTGCTTTCAACTTTTTGTATGAATGAATATTTCGCCAAATGAACTGAATAATTTGACATAAACATCATTTTTATGTTTTGTTTAATGATTGTAAAAATAAACAACGTATGTAATGTTTTATATGTCTTCCACTTTTATATTTGCATAACGGATGTTTTAATACATTATTTAGTTTATAAGTACAAGTGATTCAAATCATTTCTTCCGAAGTTTCTCAAAAATTCAAAAGTTTTCGGTGAAAAGAGCTCAAATTTGCACACAAAAATTATGGGAGGACATTTTCTCAAAAACGGTTCCAATTCTTTCTATTACAATTTGCTCAGATATCCATGTTTTGCTCTTTTACTGTATTCTTAAAATTACATTTCATATCTATTGTTAGAAACCCCCAAAAAATTAGAAAAGTTGGCAGCTATGTTTTCACTTCTATTCAGTTTCTCTACTCTATAATCATTTATTTAGTTCAAGACAGAAAAATATGCGGAAGGACTTGATTACTTACATTATTTATATTCCAGAAAACCGGTTCCTGATGACCTTGATATTTACCCGAAAAACATTACAAGCTATGTGTGTAAATTAATTAACTGTAAAATGACTAAAATTGGTCATCTGTGTAAGTAAAAGTCAAATCATGGAAATTACTAACGTAAAATCGTCCTTGACCTAAGCGAATTACTTTCTTTTAATTGTTGCAGAATAATTTAAAATCTCCGTGTAATAACGTTCATACATAATTACAAATGCATATCAAAATATGTTGACATATAAGTAAAATCCCCTGACTTTATATTGTAATCTTGAAAAAAGTTTTTAGAAGAATTTCCTGAATTACATATTTGTGTATCCAGCTCATTTAGTACAGATCTGCGATAGTCTATTTTATCGCAGTTTCAACAATGTCTTATCGACCTTATTGCCACCATGTAAACTGTTTACATACCTTCCGTACGTATTGCCCTTAAACTTCTACAACTTTCCACAGGTGGGCATCATTCCAATAATATCTTTGACTAAATCTTTTCCTCAATAACAGGAATGTATTCACGATAATGAGTTCACACATTTGTATCAATTGTATCAATTATGGTATTTTCTCTTTTCATTGTATCTTATTTCCACATTATGTTCAATAAATGTATGCAACTACACTACCCTTTCTGACTGCTAACCTCATGTGACAATACTTAATCATTGCCAGATTTTATGATTAAAACAATAAGAATTTTCGTTTAGAAATCAATTGTCATTTTCCTTAGATATGTTATAACTGTAATTATTCAGCGATTTTATGGTATAAACACTAATTGTATTATATAAAACAACGTCAGTAAAAGAACTTATTTGCTGCCATTTGTTCATTAGTTTGTTCTGCGAATTGCAATCGCTCGTAGGTTTGTTACGTGGCATGGCAAGTCAGCGTCTGGGTAAAGATGTAAAGGTAAGTGTGGGTGTAAAGGTTATACGAGAAGTTTACAAAAGCCATGACTGTACAGACAAGCACATTACAACAGAAATTTGATTACTTATTCACGATGATGTTTACTTTTTTAAATACCAAGTATGTGAGTGCATGTGAACGTTTGCTTCAGAATTTTCGCCTACAATAGGGCTGACTAATCAGGCTCTCTGAACGCAACGAAAACATTTAAAATTCTTGGGTTTCCAAAAACGTCGTTTCTGTTAATTTCTTCTCACTTACCGTCATATTTTGGCGGGTTTCCACTAGTATTGTGTTTGAGAACACTGCCCCATAAAACATGAATCAGTTATTTTGAAACTGACTTAGGTAGCTCATTGCACCAAGTGATGTCGTTGCAGTGCCTCTGACCGGGAGGTTGTACAGTTTGAGTCCCGACGGGGGCAGGATTTTCAACATGAGCTACGTAGATAGAATTCAGTCGCTGTCTGGAAGAGAATTCTACCGGCCGGCTGCTATGATTGGAAGTTTTCGAGGTTCCTCGGATCAACATCACATGAATCTCGGTGCAGTACCCTAACAAATGGATCACGGACTGCGCGCGATCTTTCCGTCCTCTTCCTTAACCTTTGACCTTTCATCATCCCTACCTACACACGCTTGCATGCACATGTCGGGAGACCAGTCGGAGCTTAGCTTGTCCGGCTGGGGCGGTGCCCCGCTGGTGGGAGATACCTGGTTGGGAAAATCTCAAGTTGACATACGTCGGCGCCGGATCTCGTCATCCAGTGGGAAGGATCGTCACCAATCGCGAGAAAACATGCACTAAACATACGGAACTAATGATCTTAGCCGTTGACGCACGAGAACATCAAGTAATCAATCATGTTGAAACTTGATTAACTTCACGTAGCATATGATTGTAATTTGTTTCAAATCGAAAGTTTAGCAAAGATTAATAGGGAGGGAATTTTAACAAAGATTCTTGTTTGTTATCTCTCCACCCTTAAGTGAAAATTGTTAACGTTAATTTATTTCACATTATTACTATATACAACAAATTACTGTTTTAATAAAACAACACAAAAAGAAAATAAGGAAATTATTTGCCATTTAAGCATATTCCTACATGTTGCCAAAAATGTTTATACACTTTACAATGTAAAAAGAAAATAATCGGGAAATAGTAATAAATCGTAAAAAATATAAACATAATTCAAATCTTGATAGAACATATATTCAATGTAATAGAACAAATATGGCAAACATATTGTCGGGTAAAGCCAGTATATCTCGTCCGCTCCACCTCAGCTTGCAAATGAACACCCCCTTCTAGATTTGGAGGGAAAATGAGAGCGGTGTCAGGGGAAGTTGCCCTGCACGCAGGAGCGCCGCGCTTCCCAAGCGGGCAAATAACTCGTGCGGGCGCATTTTGATATCCTGACATAGAATGCGACTGGTATTGATCGCGAAATACTATTTAGATATGCAACATGAGATATGTAAATGTGATGGAGTAACATTTCCAGGGTACATTTAGCGTTATCCCTTTCTTAAACTATACCTATATTTCGCAATAGCTATTGATTATATCTATGCCGTATTTATTAGTCGCTAATCTATAAAAGGGTTTATAATGTCTCCGCGATTTCACTTGTAACAGATGTAGATCAGAATAGAAAGTTTAGGTTAATTTAACCTCACAAAAAAAATACGTTTACTGATGGCATGGAAGACACATATCGCAACTTATAATACCCTAACAGACGGGCCGCGGATTGTGCGCAATCTTTCTTTCCCCTTCCTTTCACCAGTCGAGAGCTTACAGCTTGTCCCAGCTGAAGCGATGCCCCGTTGATGGGAGACACCTGAATGGACACGTAAGCTTCCGTTAATCCATAAATTCTGTCAACTTGTCAGCCGTAGCGTCGGCCTCCCAGACAACGACGCGGCGTCTCCCGGATAGCCGAGAATTTATAACTGAATGGAGAAAATACCATAAACCGATGTGTAGGTCCCTGTCGGATCTCACCATCTGGTGGGCGAAGAACACCATCACCCCCCGTGATAGAATCATTCTCTACACTTACAGGACTAATGCTATAGCTGTTAAAGCGTCCGGTAACACGAAACAATCCTTCCTTTTTTATTTATTTTTTAATTTTTTTTATTTTTTTATTTTTTATTTTTTGCTGCTGCAGGAGAAGGAGGCGGTGGCTCCTCTGGCGCCGACGCTGCTGCCGCTCTACAGCCCTTACTACAGCTACTACCCGTCGCTGCTGCCCTACTCGCTGGCGCCGCACCCGCTGTCGTCGCTGGTGCTCTTCCACCCTTTCCTGCCGCCGGCGCCCGCCGCCGCCGCCGCCTCCCCCGCCGGCGCCGCGCCGCCCACCGACCCCTCGGGACGAGCGCTGCCCCCCGGCGCCAAGGACGAGCCTGAGAAGGACGCCGTCAGCGTCGAGGCCTGAGCTGCCGTCCACCACGGGCGGGGACGTGGACTTTCCTCAGACACGCACTGGTGGTCGCGGCCGGGTCCTTATCAGGTTCTTCCAGGGTCCTTCTCTGCACGGACCGACCGGTGGCCTCTCCGAAATTGGGAACTCGTAGGGCGCAAAATTCCGTTTAGTGTTCGTTATACGTCTTTTGACTGTGGAAAATGTATCGAGGACCCGTGATTCGACATGAAGCAATCCTAAGAAGAACCAAAGCTCAAGAAAACATCATTCGGGAGACAACATGTCATTGGACGTGATTGAGTACCACCAAGGTTGTTCGTTAATTGTGCTGAAAAAGAACTGACAAGAGAGATTGTTTTATAAAGAATGGTGCGACAATGCAAAGTTTTGCATCTGTATTTTGAGAATATTCGTCTGTTGTACATTATGTACGACTTGTTTATGTACTAACGTAACCAGGCGATATCCTCTTCATGTATTAAGGTTTCAACATCGGAGACGATGTCGCCTGGGAAATGGGGGTGTGCAGATGAAGTGCTCGAGATTTTCGTATATGAGGCAGGTTCGATGTTAGTTTTTAAAAGTACCACTAGTTACCACGTTGTTATAATAGGCGTACGTCTAGAAACACTGACAGTACAAAATATTTCTTAAATTCTTTATAAATAGTGTTAAAATGCTTTTGTAATTCTAATATTATTCATGCCTAGGTTTATTTTTAAAACATATTGTCGCTTAAATGAGCTATCGACTTGTTTAGAGTCGGATACACCAGCCTGTGATAATACTCAGAACAGAGAACATAGTAGTTCTTATCCATCAGAATGTATCTCTTGTTCATTTACCCTTGACACCACAGAGTCATTTCGAGATGGGTTTCAAGGTGCAGTCAAATGTTTGCAAGTACGTTAAAATATTATCTCAGACATACGAGATTAAAATCCAAGTTACCCGCGAGATAACTCTGGAAGCAAAGAAAAAAATTTAAAGTTTACCTTAAGAAAGGTTCTAGTTGAAACAATGTATCAAAATTATTCTTCAAATAAACGAAAACTTAAATATTGAAAATTTTGAAGTCACGCGAAACAAAAGAGTGGATTCGTTGAAAACAGCGCGACATCTGCCGGTCTCGGGCCATCTGCACATCCCCGCCAAAGGGGGCGAGCGGCGCGCGCCTGTGCAGCCGCCCGCGCCCCCGGATCTACACAGCGGCAGCAGCAGCTGCTGCAGCGAGGACGGCGGCGGCGGCGGCGGCTGCGCCAGGGCGTCGCGGCGCACGCCCGGCCGGGTCCCCCGACGCCCGGGGGTTTCCCCGCCGGGCGTTCGGAATCCCCCCGGCCGGCGTCGTGACCGCCCGCCGCCGCCGCCGCGCGCCGCCGCCACCGGCACCCTCCGACTTGCGCCTTTTGGGATCGGGCATTATGAGGCATTCGCGCGCCACACGCGTGCTCTCCTGCGGATGGCGACGCCCGACCAGCACGCGCCGCCAGAAGGGCGCGTCCGGGATCTGCCTCGGAGGAAGGGAGAACTTTTACGAGATGGTGAATTTGAGGCGTTGCATGATTAAAGACACTATCTTTATCTCCAACCTTGTTTATTTTATTAATACGTGCTGGTTCAATGCCAGTTCAAATTCTTTTCTAATGAAAAATCTGCGTTTTCATTAAATATTCCTACAAATTATTAAAACACTCGAACAGACTTTTAAACATTGTATTACCTTTCTTTCGTAAAATAAAAATATCCTCCCTTGCATCTAAGATAGTAAAATTCATTGGGATGTGCTGTATCCGTCACACAAGTTTTTTCGTAAAGACGACAGTAAAGAAGTTATGCCTAAATACAGATTATTTTTCTTGCTATCCATACTGCTAGTGAAATATATTCTTTCGTAAACTTTTGTGTCAATAACAATCATTCTGTAGAGCAAATATAGTTTAAAAACGTATTATCAGGTTTCATTGCCATCTTATGCCAAGTAATACAAATTGGGATCGTGTCCATTTTCTTTTTCGTTAACTAAGTTATCGTTTAAAAAAAAGGTATTTAAGTCAAACATCTGTTTATACTAACTTATGTTTTATCCCCAAAAGATTTTAGTTGAGGTTTCCAACGTTTCTTTTGAGTTGGAAATACTACAATCCGTGAAGTTTCAAAGTTGCCATATTATTTTTGCAACACTTTCTCTGTTTTACCTACGTTTAAAAATATATTAACTCTTCGTGTTAAACCTTCTAGACTGCCAATAGTGATGAAAGCGTCTCCGCTATGCGCGAACGAACACATAACGGCGAACTCTAGTCACTAATCAAATAATTATTTTTGCCGAGTCATGAGCCTTTCTCTTGCATCCTGTTGGTGTTGAATGACACACCCCGTGCGACACTTGTTGGTACCCTGAACAATTTTGTAGCTGGTTTGTGAGCGTTTATAATTTGCGTTCCGTAGTTTAAGTCAATAAGCAAAGAAATGACCTAAATACTACTCTTATGAAGTCAGCCGACCCCACAAGAAATGGTAAACAACGTTTCTGCTTACTAATTCAGCTTAATTTGCAACTGTGAATTTGCAAGTAATTTATACTGCAAATCGCCATGTTTTCGTAACCTGAAATCTCTTTTTGCAATCGTACATTACATCTCAACTTGTTATTATATGGCGGTAAGAATATTCTAGAAATATCCACACGTAAATGTTGGATAACCTTATGGCAAATGAATGGTTTGTGGAATTGGTTCTCTCTTCCTCTTCTGGATTAGCGTGGCCCAGTCTGGTTGCACTGGTTGGACAAAAACAAAAGGTGCAAACCCGCTGCTTGTGTCGCCATCTGCTGGAGCTGAAGCACGCCTCTTGACGAAGCGAAATGTTTGGTGAAAGATGTAGCTACTTCTTTGCTCTTTTTCTTATTGCTATGTTTTCATTTCTTTGGTGTTGTATCTGCTTTGTTAATGTGTTTTTCTTTGCATAAATGTGAGGTGCAGGTTGTAAAGGCCGACGAAAATTTCTATGAAAAGCTATCATCATGTATTGAGTTAATTTAATATAATATGTAATGAACATATACACATCATGTTTAAACTTTTGTCATGTGTAAATTATTTTTGTGAGTATATTTTTGTATATTTATCACTTTTATTACGAATGTTCATAAATTGCGTGCGTAATTTCTTGTACTTCTTATTATGACTTTTCTCATTGTAAAAAGAAATATTTTAAAGTTAATATTTGTCTATATTGGTTAGTTCTTTTAATGTTGATCACTGAGCTAACCTGGTTTACCACTATCTGCTTCAAGTTACATTATTTCAATTACGTTTTTTTTCTTCCACCCCACGTTTTGTATTTAAACGTGTGACATACTCAAAAAGATACTATATCCAGCAAGTTCATCACTGTCGTTCGCACTTCCTTGTGTCCGCGAGTACTGGCTCCTGGCCTCCCCGCATCCTCCTATCGCTTCTTTCACAACTCTTCCAGAGACACAGTGGCATTGCTAAATCTTTCGCCTCTGGGGATCGCCTTGCAACCTCCCACCTACCCTAAAAAATCCAGAAATCATTACTAAGTTATGAAACGTACGTAGGAAAGAGGTATAATTTGTCAACGTTAATATACTCGTAGCGTGGTTTTAAAAAATTGATAAAAAATGTCACCACAGGGTATTTAGCCTCTCCTCCTTCACCTACCTCCACCACTAGTTTGCTCTTTCTCCGTCCACTGCGCCCTCTCTTCTCTCGCTGCCAGGTGTATTGTCCCCCTCCGCCCTCCATCCCCTCCATCACCGCCCGCGAAGGCCACGCGGTTCACGAACGCCAATGCTGAGCCACAGCGGCGGCGACGGAGGCGGCCGCGGCGGAGACGGCACTCCAGACTGCCTTACGTAAGACGAGTGCAGATGCCGCCGCCGCTGTGGACTCGTACGAGAGAGAGAGAGAGAAAGAGAGAATGCGCGTATGTTTTGTATATACAGAATTCGCAATAAAAACGATAACTGTGTGAACCTGTTGACTCATTACGCGACACACTGTTTCCTCCCCGTCCTATTTGATTTCAGATTAGCCGCACACGCGTTTCGGTGGATAAATTAAACTCATTTTCTGTGTTGTTGTGGGAGAATGCCTCACCTTCGTGCATGGTCACGGAGTAAAGGAAAGTCCCGCCTGTCCCACTTTCCAAGCGAGCGTGCGCCTTGCGGGTTGTTACGCAGCTTAATGAGGAAACGCCGCCTGGAATATAAACCGAGGGTCGACTGAAATACGCGAGCGTTGTGTTTGGGGGTTACTAAGCGTGTAATTAATGTTGGATTAGTGCTGGATATGTTCTTCCAGTCGGATCGTTGGTTCTAATGGGCTGTGCAAGTTGTAACTCACGACTGCCGACCGCGATCCGATAAGGTTGTGCATTGTGCCGGCGCTGTGTAGTGATTGTTTCTCATGCTTTGCGAGTGTTTCAGTTTATGTTGCGGTTGTAGCGTACGTGGGTGGCAGCAATCCAATGTGGGGGTCACGACAGAACTGAATTTGCTACTGCGAGCAATAACGGCGTCTTTCGTGTTGGAATGTGGAAGCTGGGATTGGCCAACTTTCTCTCGGCGGAAAGGTTCCGAAGACGAGTAATCTGTGATGTACCAATTGCTTGTTATGAAAGATATTTCCAAAATTAGCATTACCGGAGGTGTTGATTTAAAGGTACTTACAATATGGTCAATAATATGTTGTATTTGTATGGTTCATACCGAAGTCAACTACCTGTTTTGCTTATATAAATTGCATCTTATTATTTCTCGTACGTCAAAGATTAGAACTGTCGTTTAGCAACAGAATATTTAATATTTATGACCAAGATTCCCGAAGTTACTAGACCGTCCAGATATTGCAAAGAATAGCGGTTTCAAACACCATCTTGTGCATTGGCAATCGATTTCTTATCTTCATTGTCACCAAATTTTGTTCCATTTTCTGGAGCTTTGAACTGAGGAACTCGTATGTGTGTGTACATGGTATGAAGTCCAAGAAACACTTTTGGAAGTGTTAGTGTGTGCATTCGTAGCTAATAATGAAACATATATTTTCAGTAGAAGATGTAGGATTAGGATTCAAGGTGAAATCTTAACAGAAAAAGCACATGATTTTATAAAATAAAATTTATTGAAGTATGAATGCGAACATTCACGACTAAAATCTAAATGAAATCGTGGGAAAGGAAAGAGCGCTAGGTCCTAAGCAGACTCAACGGAGACGGAATCACCGCTGGCGAGGTCGGCAGCGGGGAGCGGGGCCGGGGCAGGTTGAACGGGGGCGGGGGCGGAGGCGGGCGCGTCGGCTGCGGGGGCGGCGGTGGCGGGGGCGGCGGGCCCGGCGGGGCTGGCGACGGCGACGGGGTAGCCGGAGATGAGGCTGGGAAGGAAGGCGGGCCGGCGACAGGGGCGGCGACGGGGCCTGCGGAACTGCGGGGGCGGGGCCGGCGAAGACCGCAGGGGATGGGGCCGGGGCGACGAGTTGGGCGGGAGACGAGTGGCACCGCCGACGGGCACCTGGTGGGCGGTGTAGGAGACGCCGACGGGCTGCACCACGTTCTGCACGACGGGAGTGATGGCGGCGTAGGCGTGGCCCTCGACAGAGCTGTAGGCGAAGTTGCCGCCCAGACGGTCGGACTGGATGACGGCGGAGTCCAGGCTGGGGGTGCGCACCAGGGTGGTGACGGGGGCGATGCCGGCGCTGGCGACAGCGGCCAGGCAGAGAACCAGAGCGATGGCGATCTGCGGGAGGGAAGATTCCTTATTTGATTATTCCACAAGAATGTTTCTTGATTGCAGAAATGACATTGTTGCGTACACAACGGAAGTAAACAATGAAAAGTACCACTGAAATAAATAATCATAATAATAATACAATGAATATAATCAGAAAAATTATGTAATGATAAATATAATACAACTTAAATCGAGATTCATGTCTATTCTCTTAAAAATCTTCGTTAAAATTCTAAATACAATTTTACTTCTTTTTAATGTATATTTGGTAAGGAGCAATACCGTATTTACTGTTTAGATACAAGAGACCATTTCAGAATTCTTTATGAGAATTGCTGGTGAACAAAATTAAGAACGAGATGGTTTTACTTCTTTACACTTAATTCAAATTGTTGTCTTTTCATCATGACTATGAGTATGATGTCGGAAGTTATGGGAAGGTATGCTAGTGAGCTGGATTACTTTCAAGCTTAAATGAAAGTAACGTTAATTTATAAAAATGATGAAATGGGGTAAAAGCATTGGCTCAGTGAAATACGTTCTATATTGAAAGTGATTTCAGAAAAACGAGGTTCTGTGGGACGGAACTTTAACGGAAGCTTCTAAAAAGCTGTAGACGAAATGAAAGTAATACTCGTACAATGGATAACGGAATAGTGCATATTAAAAAACTAGTGAAGACAAGTGAGAGATAAGTATACATTGGCTAGATATAGTATTCGTGTACAGAGAGAGAGAGATGAAGGGAAAGACATGAATAACGTAACTGAGAAGGCATAAAAATGAGGATAGGAAATGTGAGAAACGATTATGAGGGTTGTGTGTATGCGAAGGTGGTGTACCAGTAGAAACTCTGCAGCATCCGACAGACAGCGAATTGTTAGCTGCGGACGATGACGAGAAAAGATAGTCCAAACGCAGTTCGTGAGGCTCACGTAAGATACGGATCGCCGAGCAGGAGTCAGTGGTCGCCAGTAAAGCCTCCTCGACGCAGACGATAACAAAGCCCGCGACGCGGTGGCAACGGCGCATCTGCATTCCCTCAACAGAGAGCCGCATTCCGCTGACGGAGGTAGTCCCTAGATATAGAGAGCAGCACATTCCATTGTTCCACCGATCTCGCCATTTTATATACAATTGTCAGGAGAATTGGAATTTGTCGTATTTTATGTGTTGAGAACTATGCATCTATCTCAAATCAATATTGTTTTTATTGACAATCTCCATAATGTCACCATTTGCTATCATTTCTGCATTATGCTTGATGGGGCTATCGGATGAAAGGGTATTAAATGGCGGTGGTTGCGCTTCTGTAAGGACTTTGGACAGAGGCGGGCGCGTTATCGACGTCTCCTCCCGCAGCGGCGGCCCTCGCCGCGGAGCAAGGACGACCAGTCGCCGCGACACCGCCGCCGCCGCCGCCGCCGTCGCGGTCGCCCCCGGCAGGGTCCGCCCTTGCAAGCAAGTGCTCTTGACTTTGACATACGATTCGCTTTGTCCGGACCGCGAACGAAGACCGCTGCCAGATGCCCAGTCTAGATACAGATTCTTCACGATCCGCTCCCGTGCTTCGTATGCTAATGGAGAGCTCCTCTGCGGACGGGCATGGGTGGAGACGCTTGCGCGCATAATGGGTTCGTCGCTTCCTCGCGCGTACGAGTCTCCGCGACCGCCTTGGAAGACGCTGAATAATGGCTCTTTGTTTATTTAGCGTATGCCACGCGTGTTGAGTGACTTTGCTGTACTTATTTTGATGCAGCATTATTCCTATTTTTTCCTATTGAAGGATGGAATATTTTAATAATCGTATTGGTAATTGATGGAGTTCGCTTTTCTGCGTTACCTTATTTATTCATCTTATTTATTCATTACCTCTATTCTTCCATTGACAAAATAACGAATCAAAAATTGAATTGCAGGAACATATATTTCTTGCCATCGGCGTACATAACCCCCCTACCGCAATGATAACCAAAAAATATTTGTTCCAACAATAAATTTTCAATGGCGCTGAAATTTCTGTAAAATTATATTCTATTTTAATCTTATTGGCATTTTTTCTTGAAAACAAATAGAAGATTTTTTTAAATTTGTTATAACAACCAAATCGCATTTGACTTACGAATTTCATTTTCGTCATTGCGTTTTTAAGCCGGTTAACCTGATTAGGCTTACAGCAACGCCTCCTGTCTTCAGTTTAACTCTGCCATCTTATATCGTGGAGCACTTACCCCAGCCTCTACGCCGTTTCGCCATAGTGGCAGCTCGTATTAACTTGCCGTGGAGTCTTAAACATTTTTCTTTCAAAATGATTTTTTTAAATAAGGTATATACATTAAATATGTCACGTTTGTGTTAGGATTGACTTCGGATAACATATTTTAAAATTTTCTGGGAGTTCACGTTTTAAGTAAGTTACTGAAAACAGCCTAAGAGGTTGCTTTGAAATGTAGTTTGTATTGTAATTTCAATGCATTTTTTTCTTTTTTTGTTGTTCAATGTAGATTTGTTATAACTCACGTTCTAGGACTCCTTTGTGGACACGAACGTCATTCACACACAAAAACAAAGCACAATACAACAACCCGTGATGGAAGTACAAGACATGTAGTAAAAATATGTCAGTGGGTTCGTGAGTATACATCTCGTGGGCAAACAATGCACGCGGGAAGACGAATGCGGGCCGGGGGCTGTCCAGACGGACGCGTGTGGTGCGAGCGCGCGGGGGCGCGTTGCGTGGGCGAGGGGCGGGGTGGGGCCGTGGGTGGAGGGCGGGGCGGCCTTGGCCCAGCCGGAATGTCGCCCGCGATTATGCAAAGAGCGCGTGCGCGCGCGCGTGTCGCCGAAGGATAACGCCGCGTAATGAGCCATTCGGCGGATCCGCGACGCGCGACAGCCCCGAGCGCCGCATCCGGGTGCCCGCCCTCGCCCTCCGCGGGGCGAGAACTGCTCTTCAATTTTTTTAAGTGGCCGATGGCATTAGGCCACTGTAACACCTCCTGTGTTATAAAATGAATGTCCTTTTCAAGGGTATTCGTGGCCTCAGAAATGCACTTACCACTGTTAAAAAGATTTATTTTATAAGTCAAGAGGTGTAATAATGACCTAATGTAATCGGCCACTTCAAAAAAACTGATGAATGACCAAGAAGATCGGTTTCGATGGTTGAGTGATAACTAGAGGTCAGAGGTTTGGGAAAATGCATTTTTTATTATTGATCGATTTTGTTTTCTAACAACAGGAATTACTTAATTGTACTTTTGGGGTTGTTTTAGTACATTGACATTTTGTCTCTTTTTGCTCATGTTAGCTTTTAATGCCTTTTTCGTAAATATTTTGTTTTTTATTATCCTAACACCCATATTGACCAAGCTGGAAACATAACCCGCAAGCCTGGATAACACTAAGGCATGGTTGTGTTCTGTCTTTCTGTGGAAGCGGAGACTCCAGGGCCAAATAGAATTAAAAAGGTAATGAAAAGATAGTACCAATCAATATTTTTGCCTTTTTTTCATTGACGACAAACAGGCTTTGTTCACTCACGAGAAATCCTATCCTACTCTTGATAATGGCCTGCGATCCTTTTTGCGGCAGAGATCTGTTTGTGATACATCCTTCTCAGTGCTGGCGGTTGCACAAATATGAAGAATGAAAAACATCAGGTGGTTCTGTGCAATCAAGACTAGAAAATACCGTTTCCTCATACGCAAGTATTAATGTAAATTTTAGATTTAAATAAAATAATGTGAATAATTTTAATTCTTAATTTTTTACAATCATTCCATTTTCATATGATTTTTCATTGTTTTCTCTCTTTCTGGATCCCTATTTTAGCCAGAATATATCTCTTTTTGAATACATATTTTAGTAAAAATAAATGCCTTTCCCCCTTATTTTTCCTCCCTATCCCCTAAATAATACCTGAAATTCGGGTATCTAGTGCTAATATTTTCTGTGCGACAATGTTGCCCAGTGTCAGGGTTGCAGGACATATTTGCAGCGTCTTTGACCGGGTGGTCCTGAAGTGGCTGCCTTACGACACTGGCTACGTAGCTAGGAAGATCTGAACCACTGTCAAAAGGAGAATTCCAGCCGGTGGCTTTCATCGAGAGTTTGTCATTGTTGTTTTTTTTCGATCGACTCAAGGCGAATGTTGGAGCAGCACCTTAACAAATCCAACGGGCCAAGGACGATTTGAGCTTCCTCATTCTCTATCCTTTTTTCCCCGTTACACACACACATTCACATTCACAAGCAATGAACACCACCCCCTCTCAGTATGTAACATTCACTACACTTATGGTGATCATTACTGTAGAAGTTGACACGGCAGAAAACTAAATAATCAATCAAGCGACCTAACGAGTGAAATTTTTTTATGTTACCGTGATTCCAAACAAAAACTTAACTAATCATTTCAACAACATCGTGATTTATTTCAAACGCAGCTCAAAATGTGAGCCTGAAGCCTACAGTTTATAAAAAAATTAGTATTTTCTTCTGGTTCATGGTCATTATTTTTTCTAACTCAAATGGATTGTAATGGCCCCAAATTCGAATAAAATAGTTAGAAATCATAACAATTCCAGACAATCACTTTTAGTACGATTTCAACGAAATAGCATCGCAGAACAAGTCTTCCTTAAAGCAATAATTCGTAAACTAATCGGCCTTTCCTTCTGCTAAAGCTGCTTCTCATGTCGTAGATTTCAGACCTCGGCTGGTGAGTAATGTAGTTACGAAAGTTTGAATAAAACGTTTAACATTGACTTCATTTATTCTTTAATACTATTATCAAATCCGGTTGCTACAGCGTGTGTTGATTTAAGTCCGCAGCCGAAGCTTCGTAGACCCGGAGATTTAGATGAAAAAAGAGAGAGATTTCGATTTTTTAAGTTCCGATGGAATAAGGTTAAATTGGACACCTGCTAGCGTTGTAAGTGAATTTTTTCAATTAATTCGCGCAACGTCTTCTAAGGGCACTCGGCCTTCAGAAATGTACTTAC